CCCTGGTGTTTCCAGACCTTCCTCTGTCCCTGCATTGTCTGGGCCGAGTCTCTTGTCCTTCCATCTCAGCCACAGGTGCAGAGTAGTCTGTAATTACAAGAAGAAGAAGAATCTGTAAATTTTTTGGACATTTATGGAGTCTACCTGCGTCTGTTACCAATATTTACCCGGGAACAAAGGTGCTGCTTCATTGACCGGTGTGTTCAGCGCCTCGCCGCTCTTCTCCTAAACCGCTTGAACCGGTCTGCGTTCGTAGCTTTGACCTCAGTGTGGCCGAGGTACAGAGAAGGGGCCCGATCGGGATCAACGTTTCACCGCCTGCGAACACGGTCACAGTGAGAACCAGACTACAGCGTTTTTCATTCAGGGGGGTTCAGTCAGAGAAAGTGTAAAATAAATAATCATATTAACTATAAAAAGTCAGTTGATTAAAGTGTCACAGTAGAAAACATCAGTTTGGTCCATCATACACTGAAATATATATTTGCCTTTTAAATTGTAGGATGATCATATTTAGGGGCCCATAGCGTCCAACAGACTGAAAAGCCCTGTTGTCCATTACTGCATGGAAAGATGAATAACTAGACTAACGTTAGCGCTTCATGGTGAACTTGTGCCTCCAATGTTCTTCTTTTAGCTTGAGACTAACAGATGTAGCCAAATAAAGTGCTATGTAGCCCAACTTAGATGTAGAAACTTTAAAGCTGGTTAGCGTTAGGCTTCAGCTCAAATACTAACGGTCTGGTTATTTTCCCACAGCATAACATTTACAGAGTAATTGTAACTTACCTTTGTGAAAAAGCTCTGAACGCACCATCACGCGCCATTCGCCGCCTCTGAAACGTGAACGTGGCTTGTACTATTGTTTTTTTTATGATATTCTGTTCTTAAGCTTTATCAGCTTCCATCATGAGAACGAATATTACTTTATAACACAGCAGGTGGACGCCATCTTCAACGCCGCCGTCTTCCCTCCATGCAGTCAAGTCTGGCACATTATGTTTGTGCCGCGGATTCCCAAAATGCTTTGCGTTCACCGCTGGTAATTTCATTATGTGTATAATGTAACTTTCCACTAGTATAATATTAATTCAAATTACAGCTGCTTCAGTCTGGGGTTGTTTTTTATTGCGGTTATGAGCCTTGATTTTAGTCAGTAATCAGAACCGTTTATGCAGAACAGACTTCAACATTTATAAAGTTTGTTGCAGCACATCAAACTTTTTTTAATCCCGCTCCATCCAGGCTGTGATTGGTCTGTTCAGAAAAAGTGATGCTGACGAGAGCGTCGGTGTTTCAATAAAAACAGCCGGCTCACATTATCCAAACCCACACGCTCCTTTTTCCCTGTAGTCTTCTGTCCTACTGATCAGCTGCTGCTGCTCTTCAGGGCTGTTCAGGGGCCGCAGGGCGACCGGCCCACCGGGTGAATCCCGTTACTCCGACTATGTTTTGGACGATTAACACTGGAGGGCCGGCGGGGGGCAGATCACGGTCGGTTCTACTCGTAAATCTTTTTCCGGTTCACACGGATCTACAGGCGCTGCTCTCTGCCTGTCTGCTGTTTGTGGCGACGCGTTATAAATAAATAAATACGTTCACCTGCACGTTCAGCAAACCAGCTTTTGGACAAACAGGATTTTCACGTTGAAAAAAATTTCTTCAACATTTGATACCTTGTTAAATGACGATTAAGACTTTTTAAAACTTTTTATTGGCCTTCATTCTCGCAAAATTGATTTATCACCTTTTAAAAGACTTTTTAAGACCCTGCGGACGCCCCGTTTCCTGTTGTACCTGAACGCACCACAGGTTAAACCTGCAGACCAATAAAAACACACCTTCACACTGCGATAAAAACTTAATTTAATGTGGCTTCATGTTACAGCGTCCGTCAGTACCTGAACAGGTAGAGAGCCAATCAGAGCAGGGCGTCTCACAACATGTGACAGCCGCTGCCTGCAGACGCCAGACGGCACAAAGATACATTTAAAATACAGAAAACAAAGTAACGCAACACCCTGAAGGCTGCTGCCGCCTGGACACACCTGTGTACAGCTGTACATGCCTGTGTGTACAGGTAGTACACCTGTGTACACACCAGTACTACCTGTACACACAGGTAGTACAGGTGTGTACAGCTGCGACTGGTTTTCCTTCGTTGTGAGCAGCAGACAAACACTCACCTGCTGAATACAAGTTATTATTCAGGTGATGAGTCATCACTCAACAGGCCACGCCCCCACGCCGACCCTGTGAGTCACCTGGTTTCTGGTGATTTAAAATCCACCATAATTTGAATGTAGTTTGGTGGAAACTCGACGTTCAGACGTCTGCAGAGAAATCTTTTTCCCAGCAGGCACTTCTTCAGGCCCCTCCCTCCCACGCGGTCCGTGCGGTGATGTTGTCCAGTGATCTCACCTGGAACCTCAGAATGTCCAGCTAGGCTAACAGTTTCCCCCCGCTTCTAGTCTTTGTGCTAAGCTAGGCTAACAGTTTCCCCCCTCTGTTCCCTTCATGCTGCTGATGTCAGAGCGGCGGCTACGTGGCGAGCGCCACGGGGACGATCTCTCTCAGCAGCCGGTTGAGGGCGTGGACTTTCTCCTCCAACAGGAAGTTCTTCTTCTCGGCGCTCTTCTGGCGCCGCTCGGTGACCTGCAGAGCCTTCATCAGCTGGGAGTTCTCCACGTACAGGTCCTTCAGCAGCGCGCTCGACTTCGTGTTCTTCGCCACCTGAGGGACGAGACAAACGCAGCGACACGTCACGTCACAGCACGCAGACGCCAACGGAGCGCAGACGGGAGCTGAGACCCACCTGCTCTTGGAGCTGCTGGACCTTCTCCTGCAGGACCGTCCGGACCCCCTTCAGCCGGGTCTCCAGCTCCTCCAGCCTCTGCTGCAGGGCCGACAGCGCCTTCTCGTACTGCTCCTGAACACAACACAGCGCTGCAGTACATGGACTCACACACGGGACACTTCTGAGGTACTTGTACTTCACCTGAGTACTTCTGTCTCCTGCCTCTACTGCACCTCTAAGAACTCTGAGCAGGAAGCCTTGAGTAAAAGTCGACACCTTCCCGGCGTGTTTAAGACTGCGGCGCCACTCTGAGCTGTAACGCTCGACGTCGCTCTTTTAAAGGGACGTGGCAGTTTTTAAAATGAATTTCAGTTGCTGTCTCTATTCGTGCACTTCCACTCACTATTCTGAGGCATCGTGCGTTCACACTGAAGTACGGCAGCATGCAGCGCTGGGAGGACCCGGACGGTCGTAACGGCTGAAACGCTGGACACGTCTCGCCCTCAACCACCGCCATTTTAGCTACGTAGCGGAAGGGGCGGGCCAACAGGAAGCAGCAGAGAGAGGCCGTTTCATCTCCAAATCCACTTCTGAGGAGTTTTGATGTTAAATATTGACAGTTTTACAAGAAGTGACGGCAGATTAAAAATGTGCTTGAAAGTTTTTGGAGTTGAGGTGGCGGCGGGCGGAGCTGGCGAGGCCGTCACAGAGCGGCTGCAGCAGCGTCAGGAAGCTCAGCCGTGTCAGTTTAAATGAAGAGACTTGAGGAGTCTGTGTCGTTATTTTTAAAGTTATTATTATAGCTGGTGTTTTGGAGCTCTGCAGGTCTCAGACGAGTACTGCATGTTGGAGTACTGCATGTTGGAGTACTGCATGTTGGAGTACTGCATGTTGGAGTACTGCATGTTGGAGTACTGCATGTTGGAGTACTGCATGTTGGAGTACTCGAGGAGTACCTGAGAGAGACACGGCACAGATCACGTTTATTTACAGGCGTACCTGCTGGTCACAGTCTGAAACCTGCTACAAGCGTCTAAAAACCCACAGCGCCTTCACTGAACTACGATCAGATGGAAAACACAGCAGGGGCCCAGCCCTGGGGACCGCCCAGCCCTGGGGGCCCAGCCCAGCCCTGGGGGCCCAGCTGGTTCAGATGAGTGGTTAGTATAATATTACAACATGATATTAAAGGTCTACTCTTAGCTCGGTACACTGGTTCGTCTCTGTATGAAAAAACGAGTTTTAACAAAAGGCGGCGATTTAGCCAAACAGCCAGCTAACGTTAGCCAAACGCTGCCGGCTTCTGCGGGTTGTGCTGAATCCTGCAGCCCGCTGAGAAGAACGCTCCTTCGTGCTGAGCGGAGAGGAGGTGCACGTCTCTGCAGGCCTCCTCCTCAGTTATCGCCACATCTTTCAGCTGAATCTCAGAACGCTCCTTCTACTGTGATCGAAGATTATTTAACGACTAAACGTTCATTTACTTTGAGTCACTTATTATGAACCCGCGCAGCATGTGTTACAGCAGGATCTGGTGCTGCGAGCAAAACTCGCCGTAACACCGGCGCATCTCGCTCTCGTCTTTGAGTCAGCCGACGACGGGGGGGACACTGCGGTACTCCTAGAAGTACTGTAGTACTCTGTGGGACCCTGCGGTGCTCCTAGAAGTACTGTAGTACTCTGTGGGACCCTGCGGTACTCCTAGAAGTACTGTGATACTCGTGGGTAGTGGAGTACCCCTCTGACCGTGGGTACCTGCTTGACGTGGATCTGGGTGCTGCCCTGCTGGGCCTGCAGCCTCAGCGCCTCCTCCAGCTGCCGACTCCTGCTCTGCTCCTCCTGCAGCCGAACCTGCAGCAGCTGCACCTGGTCCCTGAGGCCGGCCCCCGCTCGCTCCTGCGCCTCCTGCAGCCGCCTCACGTGCTGAGCCTGGACCAGGCCGAGCGCCGTGTCGGCCCGTGCCACCTGGAGACAGGAAGTTCAGAGTGTGAGACCGGTTTCGGGGTTCAGTCCTGGTGGGCTGAGGATTCTGGGACATGTAGTGCTCACCTGGTCCTGAGCCTGCGTCCGGGCCGTCTCCAGCTCGCTCAGTTTGGTCTTCAGGTTCTGCTGCTCCTGGGTCAGCTTCTGGACCTCCTGACCCTGGACCTGTAGCTCCGACAGCTGAAAACACAAGCAGTCGACTTCAGAACTCAGACCCCAGCCCAGGTGAGTCCTCAGAAACCTGGGACCAGCATGTAGACTCAGTACCTTGTGTGTTGGAGCTCCTGGTTCTGGACTCTCAGTTTTTGGGTCTCCTCCTGCAGAGTGATGGAGGCCTGCTCATCCTGCTCCTCCAGAACCTGACGGAGCTCCTCCTTCTCCCTCATCAGCTTCCTGACGCTGGTCTCCAGCTCCTCCACCTGGACCACAACACCAGACCGTGCTAGTGAGACCTGGACTACTAATGAGACCTGGACTTCTCTTTAGTCCAAGTCTCATTAGTATCTTGGATCTCATTAGTCCAGGTCTCACTAGTAGTCCGGCTCTCGTAAGTAGACTAATGAGTCCCGGATTAAAGTGAACCCGGACTAAAGAGACTACAGGGAAACCATGAGGTGGACTTCAGCGCCTCCGTTGGACCGGGGTCGGCTCGAGGTCGACCTTGGCCCCGCCTCCCAGGTGGACAGGTGGCGTCTGAGTTTTATTTTGGTAGTTAGAACTCTTCCTTCCTCTACACAGGAAGCGTCCCTTCATAATAAAAGCCCTGAGACTGACCTTGCGCTGAGCGTCCTGCAGCTTCCTCTGCAGCTCGCTCACTTCCTGGACGTGGCCCAGTTTCTCCTGGCCGACGGCGCTGAGCTGAGAGCGAAGCAGGCCGGCCTCCGACTCCAGGGAGAGCGCCGCCTGCTGCAGCTTCTCCACCTGAGGGAGACAGAGGTCACAGGGTGAGGACGCCGCTTCCTTACTGGCCGGTTCCATCGCTGTGGTTACAGAGCGGCGAGCTGTGACCTTCTTGTTTCTGTCGTCTGCGTCTCGCAGCAGCTTGGCCTTGTCGTCCTCCAACCACCGCAGCTTCAGAGTCACGCTGCTGAGCTCCGCCTCCAGCGCCGACAGGCCGCCAAGCTGAGGCGAGAAAGCAGACATGTTACTGAAGGTCACGTGTTCTGCCCCCTCCAGGAAGTGGACCTGCACACACAGACCAGGACCTGGAGTCCCTGGTCCACCTGGAGGATCAGGGAAAGTAAAGCAGTGACGGTGCGTTTGAGGAACCTTGTCTTTGTAGGAGCCGAGCTCGCTCTGCAGCAGCTGTCTCTCCTGCGTCCAGGCTGCCTGCTGCTGCAGCGTCTCCCTCTGCTGCTGCAGCGCCGCGTCCTGCAGCCGCCGCACCTGAAACACACAACACCAGAACCTGATCCCGCAGGAACCTGAAACACACCACACCGGAACCTGATCCCGCAGGAACCTGAAACGCACCACACCGGAACCTGTTCCTGCAGGAACCTGAACCCGCAGGAACCTGAAACGCACAACTCCAGAATCTGAGCCCGCAGGAACCTGAAACGCACAACACCAGAACCTGATCCCGCAGGAACCTGAAACACACCACACCGGAACCTGTTCCTGCAGGAACCTGATCCCGCAGGAACCTGAAACACACCACACCGGAACCTGATCCCGCAGGAACCTGAAACGCACAACACCAGAACCTGAAACGCAGGAACCTGAAACGCACAACACCAGAACCTGATCCCGCAGGAACCTGAAACACACCACACCGGAACCTGTTCCTGCAGGAACCTGAAACGCACAACACCTGAACCTGGAACGCACAACACCTGAACCTGATCCCGCAGGAACCTGAAACGCACAACACCAGAACCTGAAACGCAGGAACCTGAAACGCACAACACCAGAACCTGATCCCGCAGGAACCTGAAACACACCACACCGGAACCTGTTCCTGCAGGAACCTGAAACGCACAACACCTGAACCTGGAACGCACAACACCTGAACCTGATCCCGCAGGAACCTGAAACGCACAACACCTGAACCTGATCCCGCAGGAACCTGAAACGCACAACACCAGAACCTGATCCCGCAGGAACCTGAAACGCACAACACCACAACCTGATCCCGCAGGAACCTGAAACGCACCACACCAGAACCTGTTCCTGCAGGAACCTGATCCCGCAGGAACCTGAAACACACCACACCGGAACCTGTTCCTGCAGGAACCTGATCCCGCAGGAACCTGAAACACACAACACCAGAACCTGATCCCGCAGGAACCTGACACGCACAACACCAGAACCTGATCCCGCAGGAACCTGACACGCACAAAACCTGAACCTGATCCCGCAGGAACCTGACACGCACAACACCTGAACCTGATCCCGCTGGAACCTGAAACACAAGACCAGAACCTGATCCCGCAGGAACCTGAAACGCACAACACCAGAACCTGATCCCGCAGGAACCTGAAACGCACAACACCAGAACCTGATCCCGCAGGAACCTGAAACGCACAACACCAGAACCTGAAACGCACAACACCAGAACCTGATCCCGCAGGAACCTGAAACGCACAACACCAGAACCTGAAACGCACAACACCAGAACCTGATCCCGCAGGAACCTGAAACGCACAACACCTGAACCTGATCCCGCAGGAACCTGAAACGCACAACACCTGAACCTGATCCCGCAGGAACCTGAAACGCACAACACCTGAAACGCACAACACCTGAACCTGATCCCGCAGGAACCTGAAACGCACAACACCTGAACCTGGAACGCACAACACCAGAACCCAATCCCGCAGGAACCTGAAACGCACAACACCAGAACCCCATCCCGCAGGAACCTGAAACGCACAACACCAGAACCTGATCCCGCAGGAACCTGAAACGCACCACACCTGAACCTGAAACGCACAACACCAGAACCTGAAACGCACAACACCAGAACCCGTTCCCGCAGGAACCTGAAACGCACAACAACAAAACCTGATCCCGCAGGAACCTGAAACGCACAACACCTGAACCTGATCCCGCAGGAACCTGAAACGCACAACACCAGAACCTGATCCCGCAAGAACCTGAAACGCACAACAACAAAACCTGATCCCGCAGGAACCTGAAACGCACAACACCTGAACCTGGAACGCACAACACCAGAACACGATCCCGCAGGAACCTGAAACGCACAACACCAGAACCCGATCCCGCAGGAACCTGAAACGCACAACACCAGAACCTGATCCCGCAGGAACCTGAAACGCACCACACCTGAACCTGAAACGCACAACACCAGAACCTGAAACGCACAACACCAGAACCTGATCCCACAGGAACCTGAAACGCACAACAACAAAACCTGATCCCGCAAGAACCTGAAACGCACAACAACAAAACCTGATCCCGCAAGAACCTGAAACGCACAACACCTGAACCTGATCCCGCAGGAACCTGAAACGCACAACACCAGAACCTGATCCCGCAAGAACCTGAAACGCACAACAACAAAACCTGATCCCGCAGGAACGTGAAACGCACAACACCTGAACCTGATCCCGCAGGAACCTGAAACGCACAACACCAGAACCTGATCCCGCAGGAACCTGAAACGCACAACACCTGAACCTGGAACGCACAACACCTGAACCTGATCCCGCAGGAACCTGAAACGCACAACACCAGAACCTGATCCCGCAGGAACCTGAAACGCACAACACCAGAACCTGATCCCGCAGGAACCTGAAACGCACAACACCTGAACCTGAAACGCACAACACCTGAACCTGAAACGCACAACACCTGAACCTGATCCCGCTGGAACCTGAAAAACAACACCCGAACCTGATCCCGCAGGAACCTGAAACGCACAACACCTGAACCTGAAACGCACAACACCTGAACCTGATCCCGCAGGAACCTGAAACGCACAACACCTGAACCTGGAACGCACAACACCTGAACCTGATCCCGCAGGAACCTGAAACGCACAACACCTGAAATGCACAACACCAGAACCTGATCCCGCAGGAACCTGAAATGCACAACACCAGAACCTGATCCCGCAGGAACCTGAAACACAAGACCAGAACCTGAACCCGCAGGAACCTGAAACACAACACCCGAACCTGATCCCGCAGGAACCTGAAACACAACACCTGAACCTGATCCGCACAACACCAGAACCTGATCCCACAGGAACCTGAAATGCACAACAGCAGAACCTGATCCCGCAGGAACCTGAAACACAACACCTGAACCTGATCCCGCGGGAACCTGAAACACAACAACTGAACCTGATTCCGCAGGAACCTGAAACACAACAACTGAACCTGATCCCGCAGGAACCTGAAACACAACAACTGAACCTGATCCCGCAGGAACCTGAAACGCACAACACCTGAACCTGATCCCGCAGGAACCTGAAACGCACAACACCTGAACCTGGAACGCACAACACCTGAACCTGATCCCGCAGGAACCTGAAACGCACAACACCTGAACCTGGAACGCACAACACCTGAACCTGATCCCGCAGGAACCTGAAACGCACAACACCAGAACCTGATCCCGCAGGAACCTGAAACGCACAACACCAGAACCTGATCCCGCAGGAACCTGAAACGCACAACACCCGAACCTGATCCCGCAGGAACCTGAAACGCACAACACCCGAACCTGATCCCGCAGGAACCTGAAACGCACAACACCAGAACCTGATCCCGCAGGAACCTGAAACGCACAACACCCGAACCTGATCCCGCAGGAACCTGAAACGCACAACACCCGAACCTGATCCCGCGGGAACCTGAAACGCACAACACCCGAACCTGATCCCGCGGGAACCTGAAACGCACAACACCCGAACCTGATCCCGCGGGAACCTGAAACGCACAAGACCAGAACCTGATCCCGCAGGAACCTGAAACGCACAACACCTGAACCTGATCCCGCAGGAACCTGAAACGCACAACACCAGAACCTGATCCCGCAGGAACCTGAAACGCACAACACCAGAACCTGATCCCGCAGGAACCTGAAACGCACAACACCAGAACCTGATCCCGCAGCAACCTGAAACGCACAACAACAAAACCTGACCCCGCAGGAACCTGAAACGCACAACACCTGAACCTGATCCCGCAGGAACCTGAAACGCACAACACCTGAACCTGATCCCGCTGGAACCTGAAACGCACAACACCAGAACCTGATCCTGCAGGAACCTGAAACGCACAACACCTGAACCTGAAACGCACAACACCAGAACCTGATCCCGCAGGAACCTGAAACGCACAACACCAGAACCTGATCCCGCAGGAACCTGAAACGCACAACACCAGAACCTGATCCCGCAGGAACCTGAAACGCACAACACCTGAACCTGATCCCGCGGGAACCTGAAACGCACAACACCCGAACCTGATCCCGCGGGAACCTGAAACGCACAACACCCGAACCTGAACCCGCAGGAACCTGAAACGCACAACACCAGAACCTGATCCCGCAGGAACCTGAAACGCACAACACCAGAACCTGATCCCGCAGGAACCTGAAACGCACAACACCAGAACCTGATCCCGCAGGAACCTGAAACGCACAACACCAGAACCTGATCCCGCAGGAACCTGAAACGCACAACAACAAAACCTGATCCCGCAGGAACCTGAAACGCACAACAACAAAACCTGATCCCGCAGGAACCTGAAACGCACAACACCTGAACCTGATCCCGCAGGAACCTGAAACGCACAACACCTGAACCTGATCCCGCAGGAACCTGAAACGCACAACACCCGAACCTGATCCCGCTGGAACCTGAAACGCACAACACCCGAACCTCATCCCGCAGGAACCTGAAACGCACAACACCCGAACCTCATCCCGCAGGAACCTGAAACGCACAACACCTGAACCTGATCCCGCAGGAACCTGAAATGCACAACACCAGAACCTGATCCCGCAGGAACCTGATCCCGCAGGAACCTGAAAAACAACACCCGAACCTGATCCCGCGGGAACCTGAAACACAAGACCAGAACCTGAACCCGCGGGAACCTGAAACACAACACCCGAACCTCATCCCGCAGGAACCTGAAACACAACACCTGAACCTGATCCGCACAACACCAGAACCTGATCCTACAGAAACCTGAAATGCACAACAGCAGAACCTGATCCTACAGAAACCTGAAATGCACAACAGCAGAACCTGATCCTACAGAAACCTGAAATGCACAACAGCAGAACCTGATCCTACAGAAACCTGAAATGCACAACAGCAGAACCTGATCCCGCAGGAACCTGAAACACAACACCTAAACCTGATCCCGCGGGAACCTGAAACACAACAACTGAACCTGATCCCGCAGGAACCTGAAACACAACAACTGAACCTGATCCCGCAGGAACCTGAAACACAACACCTGAACCTGATCCTGCAGGAACCTGAAACGCACAACACCTGAACCTGGAACGCACAACACCTGAACCTGAACCCGCTGGAACCTGAAACGCACAACACCTGAACCTGGAACGCACAACACCAGAACCTGATCCCGCAGGAACCTGAAACGCACAACACCAGAACCTGATCCCGCAGGAACCTGAAACGCACAACACCTGAACCTGATCCCACAGGAACCTGAAACACAACACCTGAACCTGATCCGCACAACACCAGAACCTGATCCCACAGGAACCTGAAATGCACAACACTAGAACCTGATCCCGCAGGAACATGAAACACAACACCTGAACCTGATCCCGCGGGAACCTGAAACACAACACCTGAACCTGATCTCGTGGGAACCTGAAACACAACACCTGAACCTGATCCCGCAGGAACCTGAAACGCACAACACCTGAACCTGATCCCGCTGGAACCTGAAACACAAGACCAGAACCTGAACCCGCAGGAACCTGAAACAACACCTGAACCTGATCCCGCAGGAACCTGAAACGCACAACACCTGAACCTGATCCCGCAGGAACCTGAAACGCACAACACCTGAACCTGATCCCGCAGGAACCTGAAATGCACAACAGCAGAACATGATCCTGCAGGAACCTGAAACACAACACCTGAACCTGATCCCGCGGGAACCTGAAACAACACCCGAACCTGATCTCGTGGGAACCTGAAACACAACACCTGAACCTGATCCCGCGGGAACCTGAAACGCACAACACCTGAACCTGATCCCGCAGGAACCTGAAACGCACAACACCTGAACCTGATCCCGCTGGAACCTGAAACACAAGACCAGAACCTGAACCCGCAGGAACCTGAAACAACACCAGAACCTGATCCCGCGGGAACCTGAAACAAAACACCCGAACCTGATCTTGTGGGAAGCTGAAACACAACACCAGAACCTGATCCTGCTGGAACCTGAAACAACACCTGAGAGCAGATGCTCGTGGAAACATCAGCATTTATTTAAACACATGAAGAAGAGTTTGGCTCACCGATGCTCCCGCCTCCTCCTGCTCCTGAAACGCACAACACCCGAACCTCATCCCGCAGGAACCTGAAACGCACAACACCTGAACCTGATCCCGCAGGAACCTGAAATGCACAACACCAGAACCTGATCCCGCAGGAACCTGATCCCGCAGGAACCTGAAAAACAACACCCGAACCTGATCCCGCGGGAACCTGAAACACAAGACCAGAACCTGAACCCGCGGGAACCTGAAACACAACACCCGAACCTCATCCCGCAGGAACCTGAAACACAACACCTGAACCTGATCCGCACAACACCAGAACCTGATCCTACAGAAACCTGAAATGCACAACAGCAGAACCTGATCCTACAGAAACCTGAAATGCACAACAGCAGAACCTGATCCTACAGAAACCTGAAATGCACAACAGCAGAACCTGATCCTACAGAAACCTGAAATGCACAACAGCAGAACCTGATCCCGCAGGAACCTGAAACACAACACCTAAACCTGATCCCGCGGGAACCTGAAACACAACAACTGAACCTGATCCCGCAGGAACCTGAAACACAACAACTGAACCTGATCCCGCAGGAACCTGAAACACAACACCTGAACCTGATCCTGCAGGAACCTGAAACGCACAACACCTGAACCTGGAACGCACAACACCTGAACCTGAACCCGCTGGAACCTGAAACGCACAACACCTGAACCTGGAACGCACAACACCAGAACCTGATCCCGCAGGAACCTGAAACGCACAACACCAGAACCTGATCCCGCAGGAACCTGAAACGCACAACACCTGAACCTGATCCCACAGGAACCTGAAACACAACACCTGAACCTGATCCGCACAACACCAGAACCTGATCCCACAGGAACCTGAAATGCACAACACTAGAACCTGATCCCGCAGGAACATGAAACACAACACCTGAACCTGATCCCGCGGGAACCTGAAACACAACACCTGAACCTGATCTCGTGGGAACCTGAAACACAACACCTGAACCTGATCCCGCAGGAACCTGAAACGCACAACACCTGAACCTGATCCCGCTGGAACCTGAAACACAAGACCAGAACCTGAACCCGCAGGAACCTGAAACAACACCTGAACCTGATCCCGCAGGAACCTGAAACGCACAACACCTGAACCTGATCCCGCAGGAACCTGAAACGCACAACACCTGAACCTGATCCCGCAGGAACCTGAAATGCACAACAGCAGAACATGATCCTGCAGGAACCTGAAACACAACACCTGAACCTGATCCCGCGGGAACCTGAAACAACACCCGAACCTGATCTCGTGGGAACCTGAAACACAACACCTGAACCTGATCCCGCGGGAACCTGAAACGCACAACACCTGAACCTGATCCCGCAGGAACCTGAAACGCACAACACCTGAACCTGATCCCGCTGGAACCTGAAACACAAGACCAGAACCTGAACCCGCAGGAACCTGAAACAACACCAGAACCTGATCCCGCGGGAACCTGAAACAAAACACCCGAACCTGATCTTGTGGGAAGCTGAAACACAACACCAGAACCTGATCCTGCTGGAACCTGAAACAACACCTGAGAGCAGATGCTCGTGGAAACATCAGCATTTATTTAAACACATGAAGAAGAGTTTGGCTCACCGATGCTCCCGCCTCCTCCTGCTCCTTGGAGACCATCGCCAGGCGCTCCTGCAGCATCCGGACCGCCTCCTGGTCTCCCCGGAGACGGGCGCTCAGCTCTGCGTTGTCGTTGCTGAGCTGCAGGTTTCTGCTGCTCAGGTCCAGAACCTCCTCCCGGTACCTGGAGTTCTGCGGGAGAAACAGAGTTTTACCTTTCTGCCCCCCCTCAGAGGTCAGAGGTCAGAGTCTGGAGGTCCTCACCTCCCTGTGCAGCCGCTCCTCCTCCTCCCTGCTCCTCTCGTGGTCCCTCTCCATCTCCTCCAGGCTCCTCCTTACGGACCATACAGAGCGTCAGTCAGTCTGATCTTTAGTAAAACCCTGATCTGCAGCGACCCCCCCGACACCTCAGAGCCTTTACTCACCTCTTCTTGGCCACGTCGTCCTCCAGGTTCTGGACTTCCTGCTGCAGCAGGCTCACCCGCTCCAGCAGAGCCCCGTTCTCTGACCGGACCTCCTCCAGCTGAGTCCTGCAGCAGCAAACCAGAACAAGTCAGAGACCGAACAGCTCAGGAGCCCTAACCTCGTCACACATCTCATGACGCCGCTGCGCTGATTTCGGACGCATTCAGTGATTCATTTAGGTTCCTACAGATCCGGTCTCTGAAGGCCTCAGTCTGCTTCAAACAAGGTGATTCAGATATCCGGTCTGAAACTGTCAACTCGGCTCACGTGAAACCTAAACCAAGGGGATACCAAAAACCCGGTACCAGATGTGACAGTGAAGGAGGAGACAAAAACAAATGTTCAGTAAATGTTTGATTTGAACCAAATCAGAGCTAAATGTTTCTAAGATATTTATGTTGCTGGAAACAGATCCTGAAGGTTCTGCCTCAGATTAGTTTACGGATCCTCTGAAGAGGTAAGAAAAACCCTTACACCACATTAACTTTCCCTCAGGAGCAGAAACCAGGATCTGACTTTGATCCTGATCACACGTTCGGCCCTAGCTCCCGGCCCCAGAGTGGAGCCGGTGGAGAGGGGGCTTCAGATCTATGATCCAGGATCTCGTGGATCACCTGACGGCTCGGCTTCACTCAACTGCAGCTACGTTCATGTTTCATCTGAAGCAAACTGAGGCCTTAAATCTGGACTCTGACCTCCATCGGGTCCCAGAGCTGCTGTGCTGCCGTGAACCTGTTTAAATCACGCTGAGAGGAAACGGCGGCGGCGGGCAGGTGAGGCTCTGCTTCATGCTTTGTGATTGGGTTAGAGATGAAGGTTAGAGAGGCCGGCGTGCAGAGCGTCTACCTGAGGAAGGCTCACATGATCGATTAGTCATTCAGGTTCTGTTTAAAGCAGGTTAGTCATCATGCGGACCAGGTTTCGGGTCTCCGAGCCGTCTCATGCTCCACAAACCTGTGTGGGCTGGCCGGGTCCATCTCCTCCTCCAGGGCCAGGACCAGCTTCTCCAGCTCCATCAGCTGCTGCATCATCTTCCTCTTCTCCTGGTGGAAGTCCTCCTCAGCCGTCCTCAGCTGGTTCTGGGAGTCCTGCAGGACCTGCTGCAGCTGGAGGACCTGCTCTCTGGCCCGGTCCAGCTGCTCAGCGTCGCTGCGATGCTTTTCAGACGAGGCCTTGGCTTCCGCCACCTCGGCCCGCAGCCGATCCACTTCGCTGGTTTTGGAGTTTAGCTGCCTCCTGAGATCCAGGACCAGGTCTGCGGTCCCGTTGAGCTGGGAGCTGAGCTCTCTGAGGTGGTCTCTGAGCGTGGAGATCTCCTCCTCCATCTCTACAATCTGGGTGGAGAGCTGGTCGGCCAGCCGGGTGTAGCTCCCGTTCTCCTGGCTCAGACGACAGACCTCCTCCCTCTCCTCGTCCAGCCTGGACCGGAGCTGCGAGGTCCTGGTCTGCTCCTGCTTCAGAGCCTCCTGCAGACTCTCCTCGGCGCCCCTCCTCCTGTCCAACTCCTCGGAGACGCCGTCCAGCTCCAGCTGCAGGTTGTCCACAGCCATGGCCTGGTCCTTCAGGTCCTGGATCAGCCTGTGGCGGTCCGTCTTCAGCGAGTCCAGCTCAGCAGTCTGTCTGCAGAGACCCTCAGCCTTGATCCGGGTGGCCTCCCGCAGACCCTCCAGCTCCTGCTCCCTGGCTCTGAGCTGCACCTCCTGCTGGAGGAAGGCGCTGGAGAGGCGGCCGCAGCTGTCCGCCGCCTCGTCCCGGTCCTGCAGAAGCCCGTCGGACGCAGCCTGAAGGTTTCCCACCTCCTCCTTCAGCCGGGCCACCTGGACCAGGAGCTGCTCCTCCTGGGTCTTCAGCAGCTGCAGCTCCTCCTCAGCAGAGCTCTTCTCCTCCACCAGGCGTTTATTTAAAACCTCCTGAGACTCCAGGAAGGCGACGCTCTCCTCCAGCTGAGCGCAGCGCCCGCGAGACGCCGCGAGGTCGTCCTCCAGCTGAGCGCAGCGCCCGCGAGACGCCGCGAGGTCGTCCTCCAGCTGAGCGCAGCGCCCGCGAGACGCCGCGAGGTCGAGGTCGTCCTCCAGCTGAGCGCAGCGCCCGCGAGACGCCGCGAGGTCGTCCTCCAGCTGAGCGCTGCGGCCGCGAGACGCCGCGAGGTCGTCCTCCAGCTGAGCGCAGCGCCCGCGAGACGCCGCGAGGTCGTCCTCCAGCTGAGCGCAGCGCTCCCTCAGCTCCTTTAAGCCGGCCTCTGATTGGCTGACCCGCAGATGCAGAGTGGACACCTCCTCCTCCGTCCTCGTCCTCTCTGAGGAGACCTGGCTGCAGATCCTGGCCTGCTCTTCACACCGCAGCTTCACTTGCTCCGCCTGGACCAGCCGGTCCTCCCAGAATGCTCTCTGCTCCTGCAGCCGCCGGCGCTCCCGGTGGAGCTGGTGCAGGATGCGGCGCTGGCCTTCGGCGTGCTGCAGCTCCATCTGAGAGCGCTGCTGCTCGGCCTCCTCCCTGCTCAGCGGCGTGAGAGAGACGGACTTCCTGTTACTCACGCAGAACATTCAAACAGCCAACAAGCGGTGGCGAGTAAACCTCCTCCTCGCCGCTCGCTGGAATCTAAACACGTTCTGTCACCTACACCTGACATAGGAAGACACTGAACCAGCAGGCTGAAGGATTATGGGAAATAACCTGTGCTGTAAACGTGCCCCTGAGCATGCTGGGTAACCTGCACAGTAACAGCAGAGTGCGAGCTGTGAGGTCACCACCCACCTGACCAGCAGCACTTCCTGGTCCAGCTTCAGCTTCAGCTCCGCCTCCAGCTGGTCCTTCTCGGCGCTCAGTCTCTGGACCAGGTTGCTGATCTCTCGGGCAAAGTTCTGCTCCAGCTCCGCGCGCTCCCGCTGCATTCTGGGAAAACACCGACACATCAAACCAGACGGCGGCTCGGCGGAGTGGACAAAATACCAGAAACACCGACTCCTACAGGAGACGACCTGACGGAGGCTCTGACCCGTCTGAGGGTCCTGAGCTTCCTCACCTCCTGCAGTGCGGTCTTGCTCACCTGCGCTCCTGCTCGTGGCTCCGCCCTCCTGCTCCTCCGGCTCCTCCCCCCTGTTGGCGCTGCAGTTTGTCCACAGTCTCCTTCAGCTGCTGCACCTGCTGCTCCGCCTGAGCCTTCTGCTCCTCCAGCTCGCTGATCTCCACCTGACGGACAGTCAAACAGGACAGGGTCAGAACCAGCAGCGTGTACTTCTACTACCTAGAGTAAAAGTACTCGTTCATGCTGTACGTGATGTATCGAGTCCTGACGAAACACCGCGACGTGTTTTTAAAGTCTGAGAGAGTAACTTCAGGTGCGAGGATGAGGCAGTACTTCCTCACAGATGTTGGTATTTGGGTTCTTGTACTCTCTTGTAATTCAGGTCGATTATTTAAATGAATGTCCCGTACTTATAAATCGTGATCTGAGAGACGTGACTGTGTCCACAGGGAAACACGGAGACCAGAGACCTGGAGATCAGGAGTCACAAGTGTTTAGTGAGGACGCCCGGGTGTTAGGAGCTGCGAGGAGTCTCGCTGCTGGACGGTGAGATAAACCGATTTCTGCCATCTCCCTCCTAAAGACAGAGAGGCTGATCAGCGCCTTCATAACTTCCTGCCTTCACTACTGTAACTCCGCCTCCTGACTTTAACTTGTAACTCTTAAATGCCTGAACGGACGGGCTCCGCTTTACCCAACAGCTTCTTCAGGTTCCCACTCCAGCTGGAGGGCTGAGATCTGCCGGTCGAGGGGTTCTGCCCCCCCAACCTGTGGAACGACCTGCCACTATCTAACATCACTGTTAAAACTCGTCTCTTTTCTGTGGCCCTTGCTTTTTGTCCCCTGTGCAGCAGCTCCGGACTCTAAAGAACATTCATATTGATGTAGTGTTACCTTGAAGGCCTGGGAGATGTCTTTGCGCTCCACCTCCATGCTCTGCCTCATCAGGTCCAGGCTGCGCTCGTAGTAGTTCACCTGCAGGAGGAACACGGGGGGTTCAGTGTCTCTGTGACCGAGTCTGATCCGGGCTCCGGGCTCCGGCTCTTACCTGCGTCTCCAGCTGGATGCGCAGCTGCTGTAGCTCCTGGCTCTGCTTCTGCTTCAGCTGCTCCAGAGCCAGCTCCGTCTGAATGCTGACCGCGGGGCCCGGGGCCCCGTCCAGAGAGCTCAGAGCTGCAACAGGAGAGGGGACATTTTATGGACCCAGCAGCTGACGGATAACTGGTGAAAATGACGGACACTACAGAGCCCGGGCTCCCCGTCCCGGTTCCCCGGCACTCAAAGAACTCGTCTGTGGTGTTTTTATTATTTTAACCAAAGTGATTGATTCTTAAACTTCAGTCCTCTGATCAGACCCAGTCTGCGTGCTGATGGTGGAGACCCAGGCTGCAGTTCCTCTCCTGGCCACAACACGCACCGTGGTAAAGACCCCCCTGGTCCAACTGAGCAATAAAGGATTGTGTTTCACTCAGACCAGACCCGAGCAGAGACCTGGTTCCCTCCCCTGCCAGCTGGACCAGTGTTTGACACACAGAGCTGCGTTACTACAAGCGGTCTGTTCCTCACCCGTTTTATTTTCCGGCTGCAGTTTCTTCCTGACCAGAGGAGGCGAGCTGCGCTTCATGTCCGAGTCGTCTGAACACAACAGACAGTAAACAGACAGTAAACAGTAAACAGACAGTAAACAGAGAGTAAACAGACCGTAAACAGTAAACAGAGAGTAAACAGAGAGTAAACAGTAAACAGAGAGTAAACAGAGAGTAAACAGAGAGTAAACAGAGAGTAAACAGTAAACAGAGAGTAAACAGAGAGTAAACAGAGAGTAAACAGACAGTAAACAGAGTAAACAGAGAGTAAACAGACAGTAAACAGAGTAAACAGAGAGTAAACACAGTAAACAGTAAACAGACAGTAAACAGAGAGTAAACAGAGAGTAAACAGAGAGTAAACAGAGAGTAAACAGTAAACAGAGAGTAAACAGTAAACAGAGAGTAAACAGAGAGTAAACAGTAAACAGAGAGTAAACAGTAAACAGAGAGTAAACAGAGAGCAAACAGACAGTAAACAGTAAACAGAGAGTAAACAGAGAGTAAACAGACAGTAAACAGTAAACAGACAGTAAACAGACAGTAAACAGAGAGTAAACAGACAGTAAACAGTAAACAGAGAGTAAACAGAGAGTAAACAGTAAACAGAGAGTAAACAGAGAGTAAACAGACAGTAAACAGTAAACAGAGAGCAAACAGAGAGTAAACAGAGAGTAAACAGTAAACAGACAGTAAACAGACAGTAAACAGACAGTAAACAGACAGTAAACAGTAAACAGAGAGCAAACAGAGAGTAAACAGAGTAAACAGAGTAAACAGTAAACAGAGAGTAAACAGAGAGTAAACAGACAGTAAACAGTAAACAGACAGTAAACAGACAGTAAACAGAGAGTAAACAGACAGTAAACAGTAAACAGACAGTAAACAGAGAGTAAACAGAGAGTAAACAGACAGTAAACAGTAAACAGAGAGTAAACAGACAGTAAACAGACAGTAAACAGTAAACAGAGAGTAAACAGACAGTAAACAGTAAACAGAGAGTAAACAGAGAGTAAACAGTAAACAGAGAGTAAACAGTAAACAGAGAGTAAACAGTAAACAGAGCGTAAACAGAGAGTAAACAGACAGTAAACAGTAAACAGAGAGTAAACAGAGAGTAAACAGAGAGTAAACAGAGAGTAAACAGTAAACAGAGAGTAAACAGAGAGTAAACAGTAAACAGAGAGTAAACAGAGAGTAAACAGTAAACAGAGAGTAAACAGAGAGTAAACAGAGAGCAAACAGACAGTAAACAGTAAACAGAGAGTAAACAGAGAGTAAACAGTAAACAGAGAGAAAACAGAGAGTAAACAGTAAACAGAGAGTAAACAGAGAGTAAACAGAGAGTAAACAGTAAACAGAGCATAAACAGACAGTAAACAGTAAACAGAGCATAAACAGACAGTAAACAGTAAACAGAGAGTATACAGACAGTAATCAGTAAACAGAGAGCAAACAGACAGTAAACAGAGAGTAAACAGAGAGTAAACAGACAGTAAACAGTAAACAGAGAGTAAACAGACAGTAATCAGTAAACAGAGAGCAAACAGACAGTAATCAGTAAACAGAGAGCAAACAGACAGTAAACAGTAAACAGAGAGCAAACAGACAGTAAACAGTAAACAGAGAGCAAACAGAAAGTAAACAGACAGTAAACAGACAGTAAACAGAGAGTAAACAGTAAACAGAGCGTAAACAGAGAGTAAACAGACAGTAAACAGTAAACAGAGAGTAAACAGAGAGTAAACAGTAAACAGAGCGTAAACAGAGCGTAAACAGAGAGTAAACAGACAGTAAACAGTAAACAGACAGCAAACAGACAGTAAACAGTAAACAGAGAGCAAACAGACAGTAAACAGACAGTAAACAGAGAGTAAACAGAGAGTAAACAGACAGTAAACAGAGAGTAAACAGACAGTAAACAGAGAGTAAACAGAGAGTAAACAGTAAACAGAGAGTAAACAGAGAGTAAACAGTAAACAGAGAGTAAACAGAGAGTAAACAGTAAACAGAGAGTAAACAGTAAACAGAGAGTAAACAGAGAGTAAACAGAGAGCAAACAGACAGTAAACAGTAAACAGAGAGTAAACAGAGAGTAAACAGACAGTAAACAGTAAACAGACAGTAAACAGAGAGTAAACAGAGAGTAAACAGACAGTAAACAGTAAACAGAGAGTAAACAGAGAGTAAACAGTAAACAGAGAGTAAACAGACAGTAAACAGTAAACAGAGAGCAAACAGAGAGTAAACAGAGAGTAAACAGACAGTAAACAGACAGTAAACAGACAGTAAACAGACAGTAAACAGTAAACAGAGAGCAAACAGAGAGTAAACAGAGTAAACAGTAAACAGAGAGTAAACAGAGAGTAAACAGAGAGTAAACAGACAGTAAACAGTAAACAGACAGTAAACAGACAGTAAACAGAGAGTAAACAGACAGTAAACAGTAAACAGACAGTAAACAGAGAGTAAACAGAGAGTAAACAGACAGTAAACAGTAAACAGACAGTAAACAGAGAGTAAACAGAGAGTAAACAGACAGTAAACAGTAAACAGAGAGTAAACAGAGAGTAAACAGTAAACAGAGAGTAAACAGTAAACAGAGAGTAAACAGTAAACAGAGCGTAAACAGTAAACAGAGCGTAAACAGAGAGTAAACAGACAGTAAACAGTAAACAGAGAGTAAACAGAGAGTAAACAGAGAGTAAACAGAGAGTAAACAGAGAGTAAACAGAGAGTAAACAGACAGTAAACAGTAAACAGAGTAAACAGAGAGTAAACAGAGAGTAAACAGAGAGCAAACAGACAGTAAACAGTAAACAGAGAGTAAACAGAGAGTAAACAGAGAGTAAACAGAGAGTAAACAGAGAGTAAACAGTAAACAGAGAGTAAACAGAGAGTAAACAGACAGTAAACAGAGAGTAAACAGAGAGTAAACAGACAGTAAACAGTAAACAGAGAGTAAACAGAGAGTAAACAGTAAACAGAGCATAAACAGACAGTAAACAGTAAACAGAGAGTATACAGACAGTAATCAGTAAACAGAGAGCAAACAGACAGTAAACAGAGAGTAAACAGAGAGTAAACAGACAGTAAACAGTAAACAGAGAGTAAACAGACAGTAATCAGTAAACAGAGAGCAAACAGAGAGCAAACAGACAGTAATCAGTAAACAGAGAGCAAACAGACAGTAAACAGTAAACAGAGAGCAAACAGAAAGTAAACAGACAGTAACAGACAGTAAACAGAGAGTAAACAGTAAACAGAGCGTAAACAGAGAGTAAACAGACAGTAAACAGTAAACAGAGAGTAAACAGAGAGTAAACAGTAAACAGAGCGTAAACAGAGCGTAAACAGAGAGTAAACAGACAGTAAACAGTAAACAGACAGCAAACAGACAGTAAACAGTAAACAGAGAGCAAACAGACAGTAAACAGACAGTAAACAGAGAGTAAACAGTAAACAGAGAGTAAACAGACAGTAAACAGTAAACAGAGAGTAAACAGAGAGTAAACAGTAAACAGAGAGTAAACAGAGTAAACAGACAGTAAACAGACAGTAAACAGTAAACAGGCAGTAAACGGTAAACAGAGAGTAAACAGTAAACAGAGAGTAAATAGAGTAAACAGACAGTAAACCGTAAATAGAGTAAACAGACAGTAAACCGTAAACAGACAGTAAACAGTAAACAGACAGTAAACAGACAGTAAACAGACAGTAAACAGAGAGTAAACAGACAGTAAACAGTAAATAGAGTAAACAGAGAGTAAACAGACAGTAAACAGAGAGTAAACAGACAGTAAACAGAGAGTAAACAGAGAGTAAACAGAGAGTAAACAGAGAGTAAACAGTAAACAGACAGTAAACAGTAAACCGACAGTAAACAGAGAGTAAACAGAGAGTAAACAGAGAGTAAACAGTAAATAGAGTAAACAGACAGTAAACAGACAGTAAACAGTAAATAGAGTAAACAGAGAGTAAACAGAGAGTAAACAGTAAACAGAGAGTAAACAGACAGTAAACAGTAAACAGAGAGTAAACAGACAGTAAACAGTAAACAGAGAGTAAACAGAGAGTAAACAGAGAGTAAACAGACAGTAAACAGAGAGTAAACAGTAAACAGAGAGTAAACAGAGAGTAAACAGTAAACAGAGAGTAAACAGAGAGTAAACAGACAGTAAACAGTAAACAGAGAGTAAACAGACAGTAAACAGTAAACAGAGAGTAAACAGACAGTAAACAGTAAACAGAGAGTAAACAGAGAGTAAACAGAGAGTAAACAGTAAACAGACAGTAAACAGAGAGTAAACAGACAGTAAACAGAGAGTAAACAGAGGATCCTGTTCCTGGAGCAGAGGATGTGGAGACTCACGGTGAGACACGCTGGGACAGAGGACACATTCAGTGTGACCCTGCACACCTGCAGGACCTGTATTCCTGTGTGCCTACCTGGTCAGACCTGCTCAGCAGGTACTGAACCCTCTTCAGTTTCAGCCGTAACGAGCACTCGGCACTCTCTGCTCTACATTTACAGAGTGGAGAGCTTCAGAGCAGCGTTTCCCTTCTCTTACAGAGAATACGGCGGCCACAGTTTCAACAAGCTTCTCCTAATAACACTGAAGAGCTGCAGGAGCTCGCACACTCGGGCGTCCGGCTCGAGACGACCACTTTTCTTTAGAGGTCAGAGAACCTGAATGCACATGTTTTAGAGCCTTTACGGTAAATGAAAGGTCACAGAGCAGCTGAGGGTCGGAGACTTCAGCTCCTCGCTCTGCAGAGAGAGCAGACCTGCAGACAGGCTGAGCTGCTTTTCAAAATAAGATACTGGAAATAAGATGAACCGGATTATATTTAGATGAAGTATAAAACGTGTCCATTCAAGTTAAAGTTCCTTTAATTTGAGCATTTATGTGTGAACAGGTGTTTCTCTCTTAACTTTGCTCTGAAAGGGACTCCCAGAATCCTTCAGGACAAAGACCCTGATGTGTCCGCTCTGCAGATCCTCAGCAGCACATCTTTATTTAAATTCAAACTTCACTTTTATTGTTTAAAGCTGCATCCTGCTGCATCCTGTTTGTTTGTTTGTGGACCAATCAGTGCGTCTCATTCTGTGACCTGCAGCCAATCACAGCTCTGCAGTGAGCTGGTGAAAGCAGGTGAAGTGGCGCCACCTCCTGACAGAAGCGTGTTACTGAAAGTACATTTACTCAAGTACTCTACTTACTACTCTACAATTTGAAGTACTTCTACTGTGTAGCCGTAGCCGCGTGTAGCCGTAGCCGCGTGTAGCCGTGTGTAGCCGTAGCCGTGTGTAGCCGTGTGTAGCCGTAGCCGTGTGTAGCCGTGTGTAGCCGTGAGGATCTGTAGCCGTGTGTAGCCGTGTAGCCGTAGCCGTGTGTAGCCGTAGCCGTGTGTAGCCGTAGCCGTGTGTAGCCGTGAGGATCTGTAGCCGTGTGTAGCCGTAGCCGTGTGTAGCTGTAGCCACGTGTAGCCGCGTGTAGCTGTAGCCGCATGTAGCCACGAGTATCTGTAGCCATGTGTAGCTGTAGCCGCGTGTAGCTGTAGCCGCGAATATCTGTAGCCGTGTGTAGCCGCGAGTATCTGTAGCCGTGTGTAGCCACGTGTAGCTGTAGCCGCGAGTAGCTGTGTGTATCTGTAGCTATGTGTATCTGTAGCCGTGAGTAGCTGTAGCCGTGAGTAGCCGCGAGTAGCTGTAGCCGTGTGTAGCCACGTGTAGCTGTAGCCGCGAGTAGCTGTGTGTATCTGTAGCTATGTGTATCTGTAGCCGTGAGTAGCTGTAGCCGTGAGTAGCCGCGAGTAGCTGTAGCCGCGAGTATCTGTAGCCGCGAGTATCTGTAGCCGCGAGTATCTGTAGCCGTGTGTAGCCGTAGCCATGTGTAGCTGTGTGTAGCCGTAGCCGTGTGTAGCTGTAGCCGTGTGTAGCTGTGAGTAGCTGTAGCCGTGTGTAGCCGTGTGTAGCCGTGAGTAGCCGTAGCCGTGTGTAGCCGTAGCCGTGTGTAGCTGTAGCCGTGTGTAGCCGTGTGTAGCCGTAGCCGTGTGTAGCCGTAGCCATGTGTAGCCGTAGCCGTGTGTAGCTGTAGCCGTGTGTAGCCGTGAGTAGCCGTAGCCGTGTGTAGCCGTAGCCGTGTGTAGCCGTAGCCGTGTGTAGCCGTAGCCGTGTGTAGCCGTAGCCATGTGTAGCTGTGTTTAACTGTAGCCATGTGTAGCCGTAGCCGTGTGTAGCCGTAGCCGTGTGTAGCCGTAGCCATGTGTAGCTGTGTTTAACTGTAGCCGTGTGTAGCCGTAGCCGTGTGTAGCCGTAGCCGTGTGTAGCCGTAGCCATGTGTAGCTGTGTTTAACTGTAGCCGTGTGTAGCCGTGTGTAGCCGTGTTTAGCTGTAGCCATGTGTAGCCGTGAGTAGCTGTAGCCGCGTATAGCCACAGCCGCGTGTAGCCGCGTATAGCCACAGCCGCGTGTAGCCGCGTGTAGCTGTAGCCACGTGTAACCACGAGTATCTGTAGCCGTGTGTAGCTGTAGTTGTGTTACCAGAGTCGGACTCGGTGCTGACGGGCCGTTGTTGGGTCCAGCTCAGAGCGGCGTCGGTGTCGCTCCCTGCAGGTCGTCTGGACTTCCTGTCGGTCCTCTGACTCTGCAGCGCCTCCAGCTCTGAGCTCAGCTCATCGTTTCTGTCCCGCAGCTCCTGAACGCACCACACACACGCTGTCAGCACCTGCACACTCAGCCTCCCTGCATGCTGACACACACATCAGAGCGCCGCTCCTCGCCAACCCCGTTGGGTGTCTGTAGGCTCTGAGCGAGTGCAGCATCTAAACCTCCTCTACACGATCACTTCAGGTTCTGATCTATACATCTGCTCTGCTGCAGGAAGTGATGTCACAGAGCGGCGAGCCACACACATGCAGGTAAACAGCAAACTCACGTGTTCTCACCTGGATCCTCTGTTGTAGGGACACGGGGCGTTCAGGTGCACAGACAGAAACAGACATTAAAGACCTGATCTACCCTCAACGAGCCTTCAGACTTCCTGTTTCTACCATCAGCGGCGTGAAACAGAAAGCGAAGAATCAGACGGCCTCTCACCCGCAGCTGCAGCTCGTACTCTCTGATGATGTCGGAGAAGCGCTCCTCGTGACTCAGAGCGCCGCCCGCCGGGTCCAAGCCGCCAAACTGCCAAAGCAAGACAACACAGGTTAAACGTAGCTGTCAATCACCACATCAAGAGTCGGCTTTGTCTGCGGCGGCGAGGAGACGAAGACCAAGGGGAGAGAGGTCGTCAATAATTCACCTGCTGGGAGGACAGTCACCTGACACCAGGTGAGGTCTGACTTCCTGTCCGCTCTCAGGTTCACCATGTCATGTGACTCAGAGTGTGACAGAGCCCTGGCAGCTGATTGGTCAGAGTGTGAAGGAGCCCTGGCAGCTGATTGGTCAGAGTGTGAGGGAGCCCTGGCAGCTGATTGGTCAGAGTGTGAAGGAGCCCTGGCAGCTGATTGATCAGAGTGTGAGGGAGCCCTGGCAGCTGATTGGTCAGAGTGTGAAGGAGCCCTGGCAGCTGATTGGTCAGAGTGTGAGGGAGCCCTGGCAGCTGATTGGTCAGAGTGTGAGGGAGCCCTGGCAGCTGATTGATCAGAGTGTGAGGGAGCCCTGGCAGCTGATTGGTCCTGTGACTCAGAGTGTGACAGAGCCCTGGCAGCTGATTGGTCAGAGTGTGAAGGAGCCCTGGCAGCTGATTGGTCAGAGTGTGAGGGAGCCCTGGCAGCTGATTGGTCAGAGTGTGAGGGAGCCCTGGCAGCTGATTGATCAGAGTGTGAGGGAGCCCTGGCAGCTGATTGGTCCTGTGACTCAGTGTTAGTATAATATTGGATGGAGGAGGAACAGATGTGTGACTGCTGCTGAACCTTCAGAGAAGATTCCTGAACGCTGGGATCAGAGATGTTTAGCTGGAGGCGCTCACAGAGCTTCGTTGGTACCAGCAGCTTTTAACCAGAGAGCGCTGAGCTGTAAGGGCCACGTGTTAGATCCGGGTCACCTGACAGGTCCCCGTCTGATGCAGATGTTTAAACGAGTTTTTGGAGTTTAGTTAAAGGGGGGGGGGCATGTATAACAGAGCTGTCCTGACGCCACTGTGGAGGCCCTCAGGTGCTCGGACTGAGTTCAAAGGAGGCTCCTCTGTCAGTGAGGACGGAGCGGGGCCCCATGTCCCAGCCTCCAAACGCTCAGTGAAGCTCACAGGGACGCGTTCGGGGGGTAACTGTGTGTTGAAGACTGATGGGACATAGCGGCTCAGATTAGGGGTAAGACGATATACTTAACTCACGAGACGTGAGGAATTACGATACTGGGTTCCAAGAACAAGACGAGAAAATAATCGTACTGAAATATTCTCTCTGGGCTCTGAGGGGCCACCACCTGAAATCACTGCTGGGAGTGTGAAAAGGGCCGGACCATACGGCCGGAGACGTCACCACGATAAGACATTTCAAATCACTGGATATCGATAATTATCATCGTTTCTGTTTGAAGGCTGATTTTTGCTCCTGAGTGAAAGTTAGAAACAAGACAGTTGATGCCAAGGCGAGCTTCTCTTCTCCCTCGCCTCTCTCCGCCGACAGATCAGCGGGCAGGCGGGAACAGGTGAGCGTCTGGAGAGGACCGGTGTTGTGTGTCGCTGTGTGTATCTGTAGCCGTGTGTGAACACGGTCATTTATGCTGAGAGAAGAGGTGGACGCTGCCTCCAACATCTGTTCTGCCGGCTCATGCTGTTCAGACACTTTGCTGTGCTCACTGATCAAACGGCGTTCTCACCAGACTGCTAAATATTAAAGACTATCATATACTTCGAATCATTTATCACCACTGATGAAGCCCACACAGAATAGTACAGCGACTTAAAAACAATACGCACAGACATAATCATATATTGTCGAATATATAAACACTCTTAAGCCCTGAGCTCCGGAGCCCCGCCCCTTTATAACCGACCTGCAGGAAGGGGCCTCCCTCATTGGCTGGGTTGGACACACAGGTGGGATGAAGCAGGTACTGATCTGGATTCCCCCGTTTGAAAAGAGAGGAAAGCGAATGACTTCCTCAAACGCTGAACGAGGTGCTGACGAGTTCAAGAAACAGGACGTGTTTTATGTGACGCACACAGGAAGATTTACTTAGTAAAACAGTTTTTACAGGCAGCGGGTCAGATCCACACGCCGGCGCTCAGCGTGTGGGAACATGTGACAACAGTCTGTTAAACTCTGCTCGACTGACGCTCTGAAAACAGCATCATTAAATTTGTCTCCCGTTCACCTGATTTAGCAGAACAAACTGCTGCATGCAGCTTTTAATTAATCTGGTTCCTGATTAAACAGATCTGAGGCTCTTTTGCAGAAACTGAATCCTGTTTCTGATCCTGAATCTGGATCTTTGTGGCTGCAAATGATCTTAAATGATGTTTTTGCCAGTCAAACGAGAGTTTGTTTCTTCAGAAAGGCTTTAAGCCTGAAATACTCAGAGGGGAAATCTGGATTTATGGCACAGTCTGTTCACCTCAGACCGTTTCATTCTTCCTCCACGTGAGACGCCGTTTCTCTCCTCTGCTCTCCTGTGCGTACGCATGGTTCACAGTTTACTCACAGGACACAGTCAGCTCTGCTTCTATAGATCACAAGCCGGCGTCGGCACGTTTCTGAACGCCGCCGCTGGCCTACAGAGGTCTGACTGTTCTCACTGCTCCAATGTGTCGAGGAAGGTCACTGTGGCTGCAACATCAGACCTTCACACTAACACGCCGCTGACAGAACCGGGGGAAGCTAAAGCGGCAGAGCCTGGCGGCGCCCGGGTCGGCGGGCGGTACCTTGTGGTGCAGCAGCTGGTCCAGGTCTCTCTGCAGCCTGTTCACCGATCTCTCTGCGTCGGTCAGCTTCAGCTTCACGGCCCTCAGCTCCTCCTCCAGACGCCGGCTCTCCTGCTCACACACACACAAACGCTTTAATGTTCACCTGCAGGTCAGCAGGCCCCTCAGGGCCACTCAGATCCTTTAAACTGGACCCACAGGGGTCTGGTCCTGGTCCCTCATTGGTGAGAACACGTCAGACTAAACACTTTATCAGAGTACTTTTAGTGAACGATGGTGTTCAAATATCTCAAACTCAGCGAGCTGGACCTACTGTACTACCCACGTGCTGATACTTCTGTGTATTCACTTGTAGCAGTACTTGTACTTTATTAGTACTACAGGACATGATCAGAGGAGGACAGAAGAATCTAAACCAGGTCGTGTTCCCACCTGTGCGGCGCTGCAAAGCTCCTCCTGTAGCTCCGCCTCCTGCGCCCGGAGCAGCTGCAGCTCGTCCTGCAGCGTGCGGCGCTCGCTCTCCGCCTGATGCAGCAGCGCCTCGCTCTCCTGCTCCGACTGACTGCGCAGAGACGCCAGCCTATCACGGAAGCCCTGCTCCAGGTCCCTGCCAATCACAGAGCGGCTCGTCAGAGCAAAGTGTCAAGCTAACGTCAGCGCAGAGTGTGTCCAGCTAACGTCAGCGCAGAGTGTGTCCAGCTAACATTAGCGCTAAAGTCAGCGCAGTGTGTGTCCAGCTAACGTCAGCGCTAAAGTCAGCGCAGTGTGTGTCCAGCTAACATAAGCGCTAAAGTCAGCGCAGAGTGTGTCCAGCTAACGTCAGCGCAGTGTGTGTCCAGCTAACGTCAGCGCAGAGTGTGTCCAGCTAACATAAGCGCTAAAGTCAGCGCAGAGTGTCAAGCTAACGTCAGTGCAGTGTGTGTCCAGCTAACATCAGCGCAGAGTGTGTCCAGCTGACATAAGCGCTAACGTCAGCGCAGAGTGTCAAGCTAACGTCAGCGCAGAGTGTGTCCAGCTAACGTCAGCGCAGAGTGTGTCCAGCTAACATAAGCGCTAAAGTCAGCGCAGAGTGTCCAGCTAACGTCAGCGCAGAGTGTGTCAAGCTAACGTCAGCGCAGAGTGTGTCCAGCTAACATCAGCGCAGTGTGTCAAGCTAACGTCAGCGCAGTGTGTGTCCAGCTAACATCAGCGCAGAGTGTGTCCAGCTAACATAAGCGCTAAAGTCAGCGCAGAGTGTGTCCAGCTAACGTCAGCGCAGAGTGTGTCCAGCTAACGTCAGCGCAGAGTGTCCAGCTAACGTCAGCGCAGAGTGTCCAGCTAACATTAGCGCTAAAGTCAGCGCAGTGTGTGTCCAGCTAACGTCAGCGCAGTGTGTCCAGCTAACGTCAGCGCAGTGTGTGTCCAGCTAACGTCAGCGCAGTGTGTGTCCAGCTAACGTCAGCGCAGTGTGTGTCCAGCTAACGTCAGCGCAGTGTGTCCAGCTAACGTCAGCGCAGAGTGTCCAGCTAACATTAGTGCTAAAGTCAGCGCAGAGTGTGTCCAGCTAACGTCAGCGCAGAGTGTCCAGCTAACATTAGCGCTAAAGTCAGCGCAGTGTGTGTCCAGCTAACGTCAGCGCAGAGTGTGTCCAGCTAACATTAGCGCTAAAGTCAGCGCAGTGTGTGTCCAGCTAACGTCAGCGCAGTGTGTGTCCAGCTAACATAAGCGCTAAAGTCAGCGCAGAGTGTCAAGCTAACGTCAGCGCAGAGTGTGTCCAGCTAACGTCAGCGCAGAGTGTGTCCAGCTAACGTCAGCGCAGAGTGTCCAGCTAACATTAGCGCTAAAGTCAGCGCAGTGTGTGTCCAGCTAACGTCAGCGCTAAAGTCAGCGCAGTGTGTGTCCAGCTAACGTCAGCGCAGAGTGTCCAGCTAACATAAGCGCAGAGTGTCCAGCTAACATTAGCGCTAAAGTCAGCGCAGTGTGTGTCCAGCTAACATCAGCGCTAAAGTCAGCGCAGTGTGTGTCCAGCTAACGTCAGCGCAGAGTGTCCAGCTAACATTAGCGCTAAAGTCAGCGCAGTGTGTGTCCAGCTAACGTCAGCGCAGTGTGTGTCCAGCTAACGTCAGCGCAGTGTGTGTCCAGCTAACGTCAGCGCAGTGTGTCCAGCTAATGTCAGCGCACTGTGTCCAGCTAACGTCAGCGCAGAGTGTCCAGCTAACATTAGTGCTAAAGTCAGCGCAGAGTGTGTCCAGCTAACGTCAGCGCAGAGTGTCCAGCTAACATAAGCGCAGAGTGTCCAGCTAACATTAGCGCTAAAGTCAGCGCAGTGTGTGTCCAGCTAACGTCAGCGCAGAGTGTCCAGCTAACATCAGCGCTAAAGTCAGCGCAGTGTGTGTCCAGCTAACGTCAGCGCTAAAGTCAGCGCAGTGTGTGTCCAGCTAACGTCAGCGCAGAGTGTCCAGCTAACATAAGCGCAGAGTGTCCAGCTAACATTAGCGCTAAAGTCAGCGCAGTGTGTGTCCAGCTAACATCAGCGCTAAAGTCAGCGCAGTGTGTGTCCAGCTAACGTCAGCGCAGAGTGTCCAGCTAACATTAGCGCTAAAGTCAGCGCAGTGTGTGTCCAGCTAACATTAGCGCTAAAGTCAGCGCAGTGTGTGTCCAGCTAACGTCAGCGCAGTGTGTGTCCAGCTAACGTCAGCGCAGTGTGTCCAGCTAATGTCAGCGCAGAGTGTCCAGCTAACATTAGTGCTAAAGTCAGCGCAGAGTGTGTCCAGCTAACGTCAGCGCAGAGTGTCCAGCTAACATAAGCGCAGAGTGTCCAGCTAACATTAGCGCTAAAGTCAGCGCAGTGTGTGTCCAGCTAACATAAGCGCAGAGTGTCCAGCTAACATCAGCGCTAAAGTCAGCGCAGTGTGTGTCCAGCTAACGTCAGCGCAGAGTGTCCAGCTAACATTAGCGCTAAAGTCAGCGCAGTGTGTGTCCAGCTAACGTCAGCGCAGAGTGTCCAGCTAACATAAGCGCAGAGTGTCCAGCTAACATTAGCGCTAAAGTCAGCGCAGTGTGTGTCCAGCTAACGTCAGCGCAGAGTGTCCAGCTAACATTAGTGCTAAAGTCAGCGCAGAGTGTGTCCAGCTAACGTCAGCGCAGAGTGTCCAACTAACATAAGCGCAGAGTGTCCAGCTAACATTAGCGCTAAAGTCAGCGCAGTGTGTGTCCAGCTAACGTCAGCGCAGAGTGTCCAGCTAACATAAGCGCAGAGTGTCCAGCTAACATAAGCGCAGAGTGTCCAGCTAACATTAGCGCTAAAGTCAGCGCAGTGTGTGTCCAGCTAACATAAGCGCAGAGTGTCCAGCTAACATTAGTGCTAAAGTCAGCGCAGAGTGTGTCCAGCTAACGTCAGCGCAGAGTGTCCAGCTAACATAAGCGCAGAGTGTCCAGCTAACATTAGCGCTAAAGTCAGCGCAGTGTGTGTCCAGCTAACGTCAGCGCAGAGTGTCCAGCTAACATCAGCGCTAAAGTCAGCGCAGTGTGTGTCCAGCTAACGTCAGCGCAGAGTGTCCAGCTAACATTAGCGCTAAAGTCAGCGCAGTGTGTGTCCAGCTAACATTAGCGCTAAAGTCAGCGCAGTGTGTGTCCAGCTAACGTCAGTGCAGTGTGTGTCCAGCTAACGTCAGCGCAGTGTGTGTCCAGCTAACGTCAGCGCAGAGTGTCCAGCTAACATTAGCGCTAAAGTCAGCGCAGTGTGTGTCCAGCTAACGCCAGCGCAGTGTGTGTCCAGCTAACGTCAGCGCAGTGTGTGTCCAGCTAACGTCAGCGCTAAAGTCAGTGTGCGCTCACAGCAAACAGCTGGTGTTGCAGGAACAACATCATCACATTGTGTCCTGGTCTCTGATCCAGGCGCTCAGAGACCAGGTTCTGCTCACCTGATCCGGCTCTGGTTGAGGGTCTCCATGCTGGCGTGGCGGTCGTCCACCTCTCTGACCAGCTGCAGGTTCCTGTGATCAGCCTGGTCCAGGTCTACCTTCACCTTGTCCCGCTCCCTGCAGGCCTGCTCCGCCACCACCCTGCACACATGACGCCATGGTAACCAATAAGGAGGAGGGACCTGACTGAGGAGTCTCTGTCCTGGAGCAGTAGTCCAGCTCCAGCCCGACCCTCTGCTGGTTTACTTTCTGACTCTGCTGCGGTGATGTCACAGCGCACTCCAGGACGTGTCAGTTCATCACTGACCACAATCAAACCGTGGAACTGAACCAATAAACCTGGTTCTCAGCAACTTAATTGCTTTTTATTTTATCGTCTGTTGTTTGTTAAAGTTATCAGTCCGTTAAGTTACACTATTTTAATTCAAGAACGACCAAGTTCTTTTAAGCTTTATTCGTCGAGCTAACTCACACCGCTCCCACCGAAGCCGGACCAACGCACGTGGGCCCGCCAGCAGTAACAAAGGACGACCAAACCTCTGACCCGAGCCGGGGTTGTAAAGGCCCCACAGCAAGTTTCTTCAATAAGCCGACAAAAGACGGACCTCCGGAGCAATTCCCTGGCAGAGAAAGCGACCGGCCGAGGCCTTTAAGCCGTCATAACCCAGAACGCACGGAACTCCGGCAGCGTGAGGCCGCCGACCAGCGACCCGGCAGGGAGAAACGACAGCAGTGAGACTAAAACCCTGCATTCTGTAATCAGTCCAATAGTCTGTTAATCCAGTATCTTTAATCCTTGAAACTCCTAGACAAATTTAACCGAGTTATCATCTAACTGCGTTCATTGGCTGCCGTAGGAGTCAAATTCTCCCACAACACAACTCCACATTCTCATTGTTTATTTCTCTGATGTGTATTTAACCGCATTTATATCCACCTTTAGTTATTTAATAAATTTCACCGTAACCACAGGAACGTCGTGTATTGTCACGATAATTTACCCTTCGATATGAGACTGATTTAAGATAATTGAGCGATTACTAACTACTAACTGATCACTAGTGAATAATTGTGTAATTACTAACCATACCTGGGGTGAGTGCCCCGCGAAATGAGAGATTTATAAATCCTCCTTCAGGGGGGAGCTGGTGGCGTGGTGGTCTCTGAAGACCCCCGTGTGTTTCAGGTGGGAACTTACTGCAGGTGCTGGATCTCGCTCTTGTAGGACATGAGCGCCGCCTGGTGGATGCCGTTCCCGCTGACCAGCAGCTCGTTGTCCAGGGCCAGAGTCAGGTCTGCCAGACTAAGCCGCTCCTCCAGAGGGAAGTCCAGAGCCTGTGGGGGGACAACACAAACCTGGATCACGTATTCACCTGCAGAGACAAGTTTCCTCCGGTGCACAGGTTCACCAGTGGGGTTCAGACCCTATGAGACGTTCAAGGACCGGTCCAACAGTCAGAAACTAAGAGCTGCTGATTCTGAACGCAGACTGAGTGATGTCAGCAGCTGGACGCCGCAGACCGCCGTGGCGGTTTCTCATTCCTCACATCAGTGCAGTCTGGAAAAGATTCAGATGAGTTTAACGCTGCAGCTGTGAAGGTGGAGCTGCTGCTGCCGTCAGAGACTCTGCTGACTCGCCATCTGTCTGATACTTTACTGAAGAACATGTACTGCAGTAACATGGAGGATTTTAAAGTACTACTTCAGAACGTACTTCAGCACAGCCGCTACATCTGCAGAATAAACCTGGATAAGCCTCTGCTCTGCGGTGGAGACCAGCTGAAACGGGGCGGCTGCGTGAGCTCCTGTTCAGAGCCAGGAGGCGTCTACACTCTGTTTAGGGTTTAACATGTGGATCCTGATCCACGGCGAGGGCCGGTGGGCCTGGGCCGCCTCTGTTCTGTGGTAAAAGGAACCGGGGGGGTCCAAACCGAGCCTAAAGACCTGAGTGGCTGCTGTGTGGGAACTGAACCTCCTCAGCAGGGGGCCACACTGCAGTTTTTTCCTTTGGACACATTCACACAGACTGATTCCTCAAAAACAGACCAAACCCCAGACCCCCAGACCCCCAGACCCCCCAGAGACCCCAGAGACCTGGTCTGGAAACGTTTAAAGCTTCAGATCATCTACACCGGTGGACACTGACAGTAACCAACCTGACCACAGGGCCCTCTGGTCCTGGTCTGTACTGACCTGCAGGATGTCCCGGCTGTTCCTGATGCCCTCCTCGGTCCAGAGGGCAACGACCCGCTCGGGGCTGGTGCATCCTGAGCCCTCGTCCAGCCAGCTGAGGACTCTCTGACCCACGGTAGCCATCAGCAGGGACGGCGAGGTGGAGCGAACCGAGCGCTCCTCGGACACAGCCTGGCACTGCATTGACCAGGAAAGACCAGCGTCACACGTTAGTCCACATTCAGAGACCAGAGACAGACGTTAGTCCACATTCAGAGACCAGAGTCAGAAGTTAGTCCACATTCAGAGACCAGAGACAGACGTTAGTCCACATTCAGAGACCAGAGACAGACGTTAGTCCACATTCAGAGACCAGAGTCAGAAGTTAGTCCACATTCAGAGACCAGAGACAGACGTTAGTCCACATTCAAAGACCAGAGACAGACGTTAGTCCACATTCAGAGACCAGAGACACACGTTAGTCCACATTCAGAGACCAGAGTCAGACGTTAGTCCACATTCAGAGACCAGAGACAGACGTTAGTCCACATTCAAAGACCAGAGACAGACGTTAGTCCACATTCAGAGACCAGAGACAGACGTTAGTCCACATTCAAAGACCAGAGACAGACGTTAGTCCACATTCAGAGACCAGAGACAGACGTTAGTCCACATTCAAAGACCAGAGTCAGACGTTAGTCCACATTCAAAGACCAGAGTCAGACGTTAGTCCACATTCAGAGACCAGAGACAGACGTTAGTCCACATTCAGAGACCAGAGTCAGACGTTAGTCCACATTCAGAGACCAGAGTCAGAAGTTAGTCCACATTCAAAGACCAGAGACAGACGTTAGTCCACATTCAGAGACCAGAGACAGACGTTAGTCCACATTCAAAGACCAGAGACAGACGTTAGTCCACATTCAGAGACCAGAGACAGACGTTAGTCCACATTCAAAGACCAGAGACAGACGTTAGTCCACATTCAGAGACCAGAGACAGACGTTAGTCCACATTCAAAGACCAGAGTCAGACGTTAGTCCACATTCAAAGACCAGAGTCAGACGTTAGTCCACATTCAGAGACCAGAGACAGACGTTAGTCCACATTCAGAGACCAGAGTCAGACGTTAGTCCACATTCAGAGACCAGAGTCAGAAGTTAGTCCACATTCAGACCCGAGCTCTAGAGTAGTGTTTATCAACGGGGGCGTTGGAAGCAATATTTTTGAAAAGAGGGGGGGGCAAGGCAAGTTTCCACTAAAGATTTACGATAATACCAGTTTAAACTTTCAACTAGTAAAAATGTGGCCTGCAACATTAAAGCCTGCCAGTTTACTCCACTGCGACTGGACCAGACAATCGTAACCAGCCGACTCCTCTCTTGGTGTTTCTGTCAGCTTCTTGAGGAGCAGCTCTGTGCTGCCTTCAGTGCAGAGGGAAGTCAGGGTAGGCCTTCATCTGGAAAATTTCAGCCACGTGGGGGTTGCTGTGTAAAAATGGACGCTCTCTTTCTTGAGATTAACCTTGATAAAACGCGTTGTAACGCACGTTACTGAGATTATTATTATTACTGCGTTACAGCTAAAAGCTCCCAACACTGCCAGCGAGTGCGTGAGATTAATGAAGTGGACCCACCTCGCGCTGTGAACCGTGTTTAAATACATGAAACGCGTGTTAACAGAGGAGCTAGCCTATTAAAGGCCAGGAGTTAATAACTGAACCTAAAAGGTGCCACAGTCACATTTAAAGAGGTTCATTCACCAAACAGACACAAAGGAGAGAAGGGAGGATTTCATAGGCCTGCGTTGATCTACAGGAGAAACTATAAAGCACCTGAGAGCCTTCCTGCTCTATATTCTAATGGTGTTGTATATTTTGAATTGTCACCTGCCACCTGAATTTTCTGTTTACATAAATAAAAACATTTCCACCATAAATTGGTGCAGGTTCACAATCTTCTGGGGGAGGAGCCCCAGACCCCACATATGAAGTGCACCATCCAAGAAAACTGTGTTTACAAAACATTCACTTACTAATTAAATATAATTACTGCTGACATGCTTTTTCATGTCAGAAGATTGTTGTTTATTAACTTATGTGTATTTTTCATGTCTATAATAATAATAATAATAACCAGCCAGCATCTTTTTTGGTGGGGGCGGTAAGGGCCCTGGATAATGGGTAGGGCTGAGAACCACTGCTCTAGAGAGTTTCACTTCTTCAGGTCTCACAGCTGATCTCTGTGGGGCCTGAACACGTTTAATCTGGATTAGCCTGTGTGAACCAGAACCGGGAGGCCCCGGAGACAAACACCAGGTCAGGACACGGAGAGCAGAGCTGAGGGCGGGGCTGGACCCGTTCGCCTGGGGCCAGAAACGGCTCGTGTCTGAGTGAGACTGCAGGCGCCTGACCGACGCGGATCTGCCTGCATGAAGCCTGAATGTGAAGCGGTCTAACGTGTTCACGTGATCCCCGTGAAGAGGTTCTGCCTGGACCAGGTGCAGGGGGGATCAGGGTGGGACCAGCTGGGCCCCAGGCTGAGCCAGGAAACACCTGACCCAGAGTCAGAGCAGAGACTACATCGCCTGTTCCACACAGAGG